TTTAAAAATCCGGAAGTGTCGGAATTCCGATCTTGAAAAAAGGTTAAAAGAAAGAATCGTAGACTTCAATATTTGTCATCGTGAGGTCAGAATTTCACGGAATCCATTGAATCTTGAGATCTGAGAATTTTAGATCTCGAGAATATTTCGGAACTTGTATGAAATATACAAGGATTTCTCATAAAATTAATTTTAATCGCACGAAGAGATGAAGATGGAATTTTAATTCTAATTTAGAATATTTTTGTATTTTTTGCTTCGTATTTCTCTTCCGAAAATTACACATTTTCTGGGTGAACTCGGCCGAGTTAATATACGTACCAAGGATTTATGGGCGATTATTACAAGATCGTTCATTTTCGAAGCCATTCGCGTGGACCGTTCATTTTTCGCCACAGATTATCGTGCTCCCGTTATACATTCCGCGAATTCTGCCGGTCGTTGTAACCATTAAGCTGACTTGTTTGGATCTTACCGTGTTACATCGGGTGACTCGAAATTTCAATGAGATTGCGTTTTTCGCACCTTAAGATTCTACATCTTTGAATTTTGATATCTCACATATACTTGAATAAATCTTCGGAATTCAAGATTTTTAAGTCTTTACATTTTTCAAACATAATATGTATTCTATACAGCCTCTAATTGTGACGTAATAAATTTTTAGGTGAATATTCAATACTCTAGATTAATTTTCTAAATATGTATTTCTTCTTCACACAATCGAGAAACGTGAAATTTACATACGAATGCAAAAAAGGATTCTCTAATGCTATCATAATTATTGCTTTATTATGTTTCGCTTGTTTGTAATTTTAATACCGCTTTAGTTTGCCAAGAGTCGAAAAACGACGATTAATTCTTGTGGACAAAAATTGGCATCAGCGATTTTAATTAAAGCCTGCGGGGCGAACGATAATCTATACACTAATCATATAAAATTGATCCGCCACGCTTCAATTCTGCGCAATCTTTAACCTCTTTCTTTCCTTCGCTTCGGACAAAAAGGCCATCGACCTGGCTTTCCGAAAATTTTGCCCGAAAGACTTACGCGATAAAATGCGGCGTTAATTAAATTCCCCTGTAACGTTGTAAACCAATCAATTAGCATGAACGTCACAAGTTTCCGATCTATATAACTGTATTTAATCGAATCGAAGAAGAAATCAAAGAAATATAGTTCAGGTCTCGAGTGTCCAAATGTTTAAAGACAGCAAATTGTATTCGAATTATTATTAAGGTCTACTTTTATCAAACATTTTTTCTTGTCTAAATATTCATATTTCGAGTACAATATGTTTTGCTCAGATTTTATCTTTATATCTTATTGATATCTCAAAATATCTATTTGACGCTTTGAAAGAATTTCGTAATGTTTACATCGTACTCTTCATACGGGTATGATGCTGAATATTATGATAGCAAAGTTAGCCCGACGGGGTTTAAAAGATATACCTATATACATTTTCGCAATTCTGAGCTCGCGCAGATGTAATTTCGGAATTGCTATGTCCAATTGGCCAGTAGAGTCAATTGAATCCGTTGACCAGGGACTGAATTCGTTTTGAGGCTGAGGGATCGCGCTAATTGCGGATCTTAACGAGCGTCGGTCTGTCCACCTGCTGCTTCCATTTCCGGGATACCGTGCGAACATTGTGCGTCTTCTCTATCTCTTCTAAAAGGTGTCTTAGAAAATCAGGTTAGCTCTTTATGTAAGAATTCCTTTCATTTTCTCTCTTCCGAGCACGAGATCCTGCCAAAGAGCTTCCAACAAATTTACTCCTTTTCTCGCAACCAATCGTGTTTAATTAGCAAATGTATATTTTTAAAAAATCTTCATTCAAACTAGCTTCAATTTCTCTTATTCCGCAAGACGTTTTTTTCAGCATTATTCGAAAAAAATATTGTAATAAATTATTATTACGCTGGTTGTTTTTTAATTAATTAAATTATATGTCTATAATATGCGTTATATATCGTGTAACTTTTGGGAAGTTTTTATTACATGTTTCGATTATTATATTGCGCAGGTTTTTTTTAATTAATTGCGACAACAATTATATTGGAGAAATATTTGTAAAGTAAATTTGCGGGGTAAATTATATATTATTGCTATTCATTAGCTTCTATTGAATTAAGTTAGAAAATACATATTTAAAAATGATTGGCAAATAATTTTCCAAATTTCTATATATTTCCGAAATCTTTGATATAATCGGGATATGAGATATCGATACACGTGCGGCCTATGAAAACAGCTCGTTTGATGCAGATAAACGCGATGACTGTTTAGATATTAGGTGGAAAAAGTCCGGAAGGCACGAACCATCTAAAAATAATCGGTCCGTTCATGTTGTCTGTTACTACTTTGAGATTGCGGCATTTCCAGAAGATATACATGTACATATATATACACACTTTCTTGCTGTTTTCACCGGACATTCCGCATTTAATTCTGTCAATTTATTGCATGTCATAATTTTTATATACTGTTAGCTTTCTCGCGATTAATTTATTATTTGGCAAGAAAATTTCATGAAGAAGCAATAATGAAACTATATCGTAATTATAATAACGAGAGAAGAAATCTGATTAATTAAATTTATACATTTAATTTTGATATTATATTTAATTGTAATTATTATACATAATATAATATTATAATTATAACAAAAAAGTAGGAAGAATCTGAATAATAATTTAAAGCAATATCTAGTCAAAGTTTTTTAGTAAACTAACGCCTAGTTTTATGTAACATCTTTTATTTCTTTCTTTTATTTATTTTTTATATTATATTTCTTTATTCAATCTTATGATATTAAAGAGAGAGAAGGCATATAAAGAAAAAAAAGGAGAGAATCTTCTCATGATGACACTCCTTTTCTGTTGTTCTGTTTTCTCTTTCGAGAACCGCAGAAGCGAAGACGTTACCATAAGAGGACATCTCTCACCATCTCTGGATCTTTCTTTCTCTCGTTCTCTCTTTCTGTCTCTGTCTCTCTTTTGCCCCCTTCCTTTCTTGTTTCCTTTACTTCTTTTTATTCTGGGACCGCAGATTCGCAGGTCCTAGATGTGTTTCGAAGAAAATTGTCTTGCGGATATTTCGTAAATAATGAAATACAATTGCATCAGCAGTCGGGTTTAACTAATTTCGATTTAGGGCAAACTTGTTTCATTCACTAAATTATATTTTTTAAGCCAATTGTTCAAAATTTCAGTATTTATAAACGCACAAATTTGGACAAATTAGTAACACAAGTAATACAATTATATTTATTATTTTTTTTAAACATTAAATACAATAGATTTTATTTTACACGATTGATATAATTGAAATAAAAATCGAAATTTATTTTTTTCATTATATGTATTATATTAATAAAGTTATTTTAAACAAAAACTTAATTATTTGAAAGTTGTGCTCGAGAATTAAGGTCAAGGTAACTAATTAAATAATTTAATTAAAACAATTTAATTTCTAACTGCTATCTATACAAACTATGTCATTTAGAATGATTGCTAGTGTAGGATATAATTGTTCAATTAATATAAAAAAATCAATAAAAACAAACAAGATGAACAAAAGCATGCTAAAGCTAATTAAGAAATGTGCAGCTCGAGATTATTATAAAGCATGATCGTGTATGCGATTCTTTATCGGTGGCGCTTCTTCTGATGGCAATTCTGCAACGAGGAGACAACGGAATGTATATTAAAAAGCACCATCGCGCCATTTACGGCTGTCATCTCCAGGATAACTCGAAACCGCGAACGTCGCCTTTTGCGGCTTACTGCGGCTTCTTCTGGAGATATCCTTTCTCGAGTCTAATAGGGAGAGCTGAATCGTGATAAGAATTTATTTTCGATAATGCATTCATAGTGTTGCGTTCGATATCTGTCACTTAAAAAAAAGTACAAGTACATTACTTTCTGGTGTGATGTGAGGCATTTCGATTAAGTTATCAGAAGCAAAAATGTAAACGATTTATATGAATAACGCAGATAATATTGTGTATATCTTTTACTTGATGCAATTTGTACATCTAAGGGTTTATTAAATTAATTTAATTTAATTTTATTTCTAAATTAATTATTTTTTTATTCAATATCTTTGATTCGTTTAATCTGAAATTATCTCTTACTTGTTATTTTCTTTTCACGAAATGTCTAGAAAAATTCTTTCTATTCTTCTGTAAATATACATAAATTAGATACGTTTGTCTCTCCAACTTGATCTCTTTCTAGTTCGCTTACACGACATTTCCCAACAAGATACACGTATAGGGTAATACCTATGCTCTCGTGACTCATCGGCTTTCTCATGCCACCCTGTCGTACCTTGGCGCGGTTCGTTTTCTGGGCAAAAGCTGGGGTCGAGAACAATGGAAACGAGAGAAGTCGGTGGGCACGCGTGTGCAAGGTAGACACGGCTGCGGTGGTCACGTTTCGCTCTCGTCTCATGTGTGCATCGTGGTACACATTGTATAGAAAAGTACTTTTAATCCATTGTATGCACCTCTCACGAAGACATTCTTCCCGTACTCTTCCGCCTTGCCTTTTTCCCTGTTTTACAGCAGGAGAATATCTATTCGCGAGCCCTAATCACACATCGTACTGATTCTCCTTAGATACCAGAAAATGCGCCTCTTCAATGGCCAATTATGCCGCTTTCGGTGAATTAATATAGAGAAATCATTAGAATTTTCTCTCTCTGATCTTGATAAAAAAATCAGACATGTATTATTTAATTATTTTATAGATGAAACGGATAAATGTAAGAATTTAAAACGCAAAAATTAGCTTGGAAATATTAATTTTTCTATACTGGTTAAGTATAAGAGAAATTGCGTACATAATTTTAATTTACTGATTCTAAGATTATTAAGAATGGAGGGTTATAAAAGCAACTATTAAAAAATATAAAATATCGAAGGAGCGACGAGAATTGTATTTTTTTATAGCGAAAAATGACAAAATTTGGCTTTTGTTGTATGTTGCAGATTGAAAACGTGAGCTTGTGCGTGGGAGCACTGCGGGCTCTAGGAGCGGACGTGGGTGCTGTGAACCCTGGGGAATTGGCAGCAGGATCAACCCTTTGGCCAATCCTGGCCTTGCTTTTCGCCCTGTCGCGATACAAGCAACGAGCCAAGCAGCTACAGGACATGCCCAAGTAAGTGGATTATTCTTTTCGGAAAATCACAATTCATAATGATGAATATTGACAAGTAATTGCAATTTTGGCAAATTTTGAAAATATCTAGTCTATAATTCTGAGATGGATGATTGACACTCATTAAATGAAAAATTTTAGAGTGTCAGATCTTTGGATCTACATACGTATACATATGTATACATATGTATACATATGTATGTAGAATATTAAGACTTTAAAAACTATAAAACTGAATTTTTATGAGATTACCTTTTGAAATGTAAATTTTTATCGATTGTGAGAGAGAGTCTGCAAATTTTTGGGAAGTCTCGAATTTTTTTCTTTTAATTTTGATTTTTAAATTTTTAGATCTGCAGAAATTGTAATACATGAATTTTTATTTCGCAATCAAATTAATTTTTCTCGCATCTTCAAAATATTTGTACCCTGTTCTCCCCGTTATACCGGTTGTGGACAACCAAAGTAGAAACCACTATAGTTTCCTGTAACAGTTTCACGTCGGTAAAATGGCGTTTCATGAATTCAGTACAGAATTCATGGATACCAAGAGCAGATATCTGAAAGCTCTGCTGTAGTAGGTGTTGGTATCCATTTGTCGTTATCATATTTCGATAAACTATACTCGTAGCTTTTTGTCGACAATCATGATTTTGACAATAATGATACACGGCAACATAAAAATTTCTCATCCTAAGCATAATTTATATCAGCATATTGATCAGCGACTAGTCTATAAAATTACGACTCGGTCAATCTTTTATGTAGCAGATTAATTTTAACGAGCCAACGAGGATGCATCTCATAATAATTGCGAACAGACATATTTAATGAAAACGTCGAGAGAGGGCTTTGAAGCGGGATTCGCTCATTAAATAAATTAAATTATATTCAGCCCGAAACTCGTTGTTGGAAGAGTTTCCGGGAGTTATTATGATTCGATAAAATCAATTAAATAAAATGATTATGCGCCATCATATGAATTTTTTATTGAAAGTATTATTAACATTCACATACGGTCAGTTTTGATAAGTCACGATAAATTGACGATTCTATACTTGTCAGACACACATATAGACAGATTAGCAGATGTTTTAAAATTTTATTTTAAAGAGAAGATTTAAAAAAAATTTTTTTTACTATAGCTACACTGGTATAATTCAATGTTAAATTTTTCAAATATCTCAATTAGTATTTGAATCATCTATCACATGTTGTAATTGTAATTTTTAATTGCACACACACATATTTTAATTGAATAATTAATAAATGCATTAAAGTAGTACTATACTATATTTAACAGTATAAAATTAGAATTATATTGACTTAAAATTACATTTGAACTAGAATTGATTAATAAATAAAGTAATATAATTTGCATATATATTGTAATGATTTTGGATATTTCGTATTATCAAAAATGAAGAATTTCCATATTTAGTGTAATGTTTGCATCTTAGCAATTCGAGATCCATGTCGAGAGCTTTGTTTCCTGTCGCGCAGTCGAATCGATACCGACGTCCTGTCGGCCTGCAGCAACGGCGTTCATTAACGTCTGCGTTAATCAACCACTAGCATACCTCTCTCATTCTTTCTCCTTGCCTCTTTTTCGCCTACTATCGACATCGAGTAAAGCACACATACTAGTTTTACCAGTATTTCGGCACGCAGAAAATGTGCTTTACAACCGGGAGCGAGGCAAATTTAAATATTTTAATTACTCCGCGGTTAATTGCAGCAGTCGAGAAGAGAGAAAGAGGGAATAAGAGAAGAAAAATGAGAGGAAATAATATATATTTGTGTTACAAAAAAATTGAAAAGTCAGAACACAAATTAATCTAAAAATAATATCTTATTAAAGTATATTTTATTAAATTAAAATAAATGAATATAAGTGCAAAATTAGATAAATAAAAACAAGTTTGAAGTGTAAAGGATCGATAAAAATTAATTTTGCGTAACAATAAAAAAAGATACACGAGAAGCAATAGGATGAAAATGTATTTCTTGAAAGCTAAAAGTCAGGGGTGACTGACTCCACATTCTTATTAATCGCGGTACATGTGCGATCGTACATGCAAGGATGAGGCACGTGGCGAACGTTTCAGCTGTCAAGGTCGATATTTTTAAACCACGGTACCTTCAACTGGGGGATAAATTGCTTGGATGTGAGTAAAATTTCGAAACTGTAACGATTCAAGTAACGCGCAGTGTTGGCGTCTATACCGAAATTATTGCATTTTCGCAGCCCCATTCACAGAAAAAAAGGAATCCTTGATTCAAGTATATTTTTATTCTCGAACGCTATTTGATTGATTTAAGCATAGAATGCTCTTTGTAATCACAAATTTTCATTTGCCTTAATAATAAATATGTTTGTGTAAAGTATATTTTATTCTTAAGATATATTCTTGTTTTAAAAATCGCATATGGTAAAAACAAACTTAGTCACATTTGAACTAAGAATTATTATATATACTTGTCCTTGCAATATTTATAAGTAAATTTCAGCTTCAAGCAAGAATATTTTGCACTTTGTTTTAAGGATAAATTATCCAAAATTATTTATATTTGGCGCTATTATAAGGATAAAATATACTTGAATCAAGGCATATTTGCATTCTTTCAAGAATACTGTTTTTTCTGTGCAATTAAATGATTTTTCACTTGAAATTATTATTAGGAAATGTGGAAAGAATATGTTTAGTTCTAGTTTTTACTTCAATATTTGTCTAGCTCTTTATTACGAAACTAGTACGAGATATATCATTCTAGGAATTGTAGGGACAGAATGTTTGCACTTGAACTAAACAATTGGCCATTTACGAGAGTCGAAATAATGGAGACGAAGAAAAAAATCTGTTTCGAGCAAAAGGGGAATTCGGATCTAATGGAGCGCGTAACGATTCTTCGAGCGGGAGAAACGCGAGGCCGGGCCCTCGAACGGGCCGCGCGCGTACATTAACATATTAACAATGCTCCATTATGCCCGAGTGTATACCTAGTCCCCGCGTAGGCGTGTTATGGACCGTTCTCGAGACCGCGGAACGCATATTCGGAGTCTCGGAACGTATAGACAGCGTTCGAAATGAAAATGCTTCAACGAATGCGGAGTTATTTCGTGTTTCGAATCAAAGTTTTATCACGTTTACACTGTTTTCCTTTATATATATATATTTCTGAATCTTTACCACACTTGATAAATTATTGAATTTATTAAGTGGACTATATAAATTAAACATCTTTTTACGATAATTTTATTGGACTAGAGAGATATTTCATTGAAATTGGTTGAAAAACAAGTTTATCGATTTACAATGTTGATGTTTATTTTGCCGATAAATTTTGGAATTCGCAATCGCTCGTTGTTGAGAAATTATTCAAAGCTCTCTATTGAAATCAAAACTAATTGTTCCAATTTTGCCGTGTACGTTATATGTAATCGAATACCTACATTCTAAAATACAATATATACGTACCAAGAGCGAGAAGAAAGAGAGCACGATTCGATATTCGAATTTTAATTTAGAAACACGAGGTAACATTTGTGGGAACGAGCAAAGGTAAAGAAGGACGAGGGTCAAAGCTGACGAAAAAAATTTCTCATACACTTGCCTGCATGCGCACATCTCGTTGGAGTGTACGCACAATATGTCCGTGGCACACGATCGTGCATGCACGTGCACATCGGGACATTAGCATAAAAATGGTTTAAAAATCCGTCGAGCGTGCTATCGGCATTGGCGGGCTCCCGGGGAAAACTGGGTTCGCCATTGGTTAGCCGCGTACGCGATTGAAGGGAAGAGGGGTCGAAGAGAATGGGCTTTAGAGAGGCTGCGAGAGCTAAAACGAGCGAGGGAGAAAGATGAAGCTGGAAAGGGAGAGAGAGACAAGGACCGATCCTGCGAGGGTGTATTCGAAGGAAAGAGAAAGGAAGAGAGAAGAGGGGATATATGAGGGTGTGAGAAGGTGCTATAGTCAAAGCACAACAGCATTGGAGTGCGCGGCAGAGAGAGGTCCAGCTTAAACGGCAAGAAGGTGCGAGAGAAACAGACCAACGAGATAGAGAGAGATGAAGCAAAGCAGCATGTATCTGCATGGGGAAAGCAGCGTGAACCGAAAGGGGCTAGAAGGTGAACAGCGGAGCGACAGAGACACCGATGGCAAACGAAGAGACGCAGGGTGAAGGACCAAAGCGGAAAAGGGGAGATAGCAGAGCGAGAGAGAAGCACGCACCACGTGCTATGGGAACGGGAATGGCTCTCTCTTCTCGCCGGGCCTCTCGGCGGTTCAGTTCGAAACGGACCATCAACGATGCCTACACACCATCATGACCATCGCGACCGAGTGTAGTGGTCGCCCATGGTCGCCATGAAGCGTCGTCGTCACTCGAGTCGATGACGCTCTTTCGAACGGTTTCTCGGACTCTTATCCTTTCCTCGTCATTTCGCTTCGTTTCGTTTCGAGAGTGCGGAAAGATCGATGGATCGCATCGATCATGCGCGGAGCACAATGAAACGTTGCTCTTCGGCTTCGGGTTCCGCGAAGAATCGATAGTGATCGCGCCTATGGAAGTGATATTATAAGAAAGAGGAGAGATGGATCATGCTTTATGGATTATGTTTGAACGCGTGGATTTATTTTGACGCGTTTGATGCGAGAAGATTGAGCTGCGCAAAAAAGAAGAAAAAAAAAGATTTCATTGTTATTCCTACTTGTCTCAAGAGTTCATTTGATATGATTTGATATGAATAATTATTATAAGATAAATTGTAAATTTTGATACTTAATTTTAATGTAATAAATCGATGGCTGCAAAAATGTAATTAAATTTAAGATTTAATTGCGATATCAATATTCAATATAAAGTGAGAATTTAATGTGATTATGATAGATTAAGAAGTGAGTATATTAATTGTTGTTGAAATAGAAAACCTTTGTCAAAAATTTCAAATTTAGTATGTTGCTTCGAGGAAAAATCTTTATTTTCAAAGATCTAA